TCTGACCCTCCCCCCTCTCATGCTATCTCATTCTATCTCTCAAATAAATAAAATCTTAACCCTCCCCCCCCCCCACACACACTACTGACCAAATCAAGTGTTGGTGAGGATGTGAAGCAACTGGAACTCATACAATGTTGGTCAGAACATAAATAAAAACTTTGGAAAATAGTTTGACAGTTACTTAACTGTATATTTATACACCTAGTATATATGACCCACCTATTCCATTCCTAGGTATTTATCCAAGAAAAACAAAAGTGTGTGTAGAAAACAAAGATTTGTGCACAAATGTTCACAGCAGCTTTGTTTTTAAAATAATAAAACCTGAAAAAAACTCAAATATCCATCCACAGGTAAAAGGAGAAACAAATTGTAACAATTCATTATTCATATGATGGAACACTACTCAGCAATAAAAAGGATGAATTACTGATTTTCACAACAGTATGGATGAATCTCAAAATAATTATGCTGAATCAAAGAAGCCGGTACAATTATTGTGTATAATCCCACCTGTATAAAATTCTAGAAAATGCAGACTAATCTAATGTGACAGAAAGCAGATCAGGTGGCCAGGAGATGGGGGTGAGGGTGGATTGGGCAGAGGAATGGGAAGGGGGAGGGAAGGACAGGAGGTAGGAATTACAAAGGAATATGGTATGCCTCCTGAGAAAAAAACACTTTGAAATATTTTTAGTGTTTGTTTTTTCCTTAAGTACCATGTTGCTAACAAGAAGAGCCGTTTATTAGTGTTTATTCCAAGCCGAGGACTGTTATAAGTCCAGAAGGAAACCTGAGGGGATGATGAATATGTTTATTATCTTGATTGTAGTGATGGTTTCATGGATGTAAACATATGTCACAACATGATGTGTTTCAAATATGTACAGTTTATTGTTAAGTCCATCATACCTCAATAAAACTGGTTTAAGAAAAGACTGTTAAAGTAAAAATAATAACTATATATTGTGGGATTTATAACATATGGAATTAGAAGGGGCAACAGTAACACGAAGGATGAGAAGGAGGAAACGGAAGCAAATGGCTGTAGGATTCTTACGCTATTACACTACACATAAAGCGCAGTAACATCTCAGTTTCATTTGAACACCATTTCCTATAAATAAAAAAAAATGTAGAAATATGCCACATTTGCCAAAGCCTTGTGGATTATTTTTGGCTTATAAACATTATAATCCAGGAAGATATTTTTGTACAGCAGAGGAGACAAGAGGTCTTCTAATGAATCTACAGCATGCTTGCCATGAAATGAAATGTGTTGGTTTTTCTACTTGAGGATGGAAGGTAAAACTAACCGTCTCTCTATCACTGCAGCCACATAAACATGGAAGCCCTAAAGACAGAGTTAGGGTTGGTCACACAGACACTGAAGAGCTGGACAGACAGACCCACAGGTGTACAGCTGTGAGACTTCGGACTAATGCATGACACTTGGGGCCGAGCTAGAGGCCAACAAGACCTCTCTCAGAGGGTCGTTGAGAGGACAGAATGAAATCATGCTTCTGAAGGACTTACAACAGTCTTCGGCTCGTGGAAAACATTAATAAATGGCTCTTCTTGTTAGCAACAAGTGTTTTTTTCTCAGGAGGCATATCATATTCTAGTTTCAAAGAACACTAAAACAAAGGAACTACCCATGCATGAAATTCATTCTTACTGTCAATTCATTGATAAGTGTCAAGCCCAAGCCATGTATCCATGTGTTTTATGGATAAAAAACAGTCTAAAATTCTCCTGTGTCTAAGCCCTTAGAAGGCAGAGGCAGGGTGTTAGGTATAAAAGAAAGTCAGTTCTCTGATGTTGGGAGCATCGGAAGATGGGGGAATCCCAGGCCCTGGAGAGTGAACATCCTTCTTCCTTCCTTCCCCAAAATCAGCTCTTTTAAAAGGCAGACTTGTATTTCAAAAGAAAATTATGTGCATAATTCAAATTCCTTTCAACATACTATGAACCTATATACTTGGGCTTTAATGCTTTATATCTGAAAAACTACTAATCACCTTCAATTATGAAATGGGCAAACTCCATACACCTGAAAGGGACAGATCATTATCCCACAGAGAAACCATATTAAGTGCTTCATTATGGAACCATGATAAGCATTTCGAAGGACGTGAATCTAATGGCCTGTTCACCTGAGACTCACCTTGGTCTCTCTGGAGAAGGGTTGGGGCTGCGGGGAGGAGGTGTGCGGGGCACAGCTGGCTTTGGTGCGATGCTGGCTGCAGGTAGAAGGCCATGGATGATGTGTTTCTGCACAAATGAAACCCAGCAGTGTCACTGGTGTATGGGATCACCTGGGTCTTGTCACCACCCTGCTTGGAGCCTGAAAGGGGACACCTGCACTGGCCACGCAGGGATCTAACCCCACCAGGAACCCAGTCCTCCCCCTGCCATCCCCAATTCCTATCTGGCCAGGCAAGTATGCCCACCCAGGGAACACCACTACAGCTGCCCATTGTGGGGAACCTCTCATCCTTCCCTCCTCAGAGAGGCTTCCCTGACCATCCCCCAGAGTCACTCTCTGGGACCTCCAGTCTCACAGCACCACTGCAATGACCCTACTCCCTCACATGCTACCCCACCTACAGAATGGAAGCTTCCCAAGAGCAGGCAACCTTCTTGTCTTTATCAACCCTGGAACTCAAGCACTTCCCCCATTACTCCACACTGTGTAGAAGCTTAATGAAGATTTTAGATAGTTTACCTCCAAGATGCAGAATAACGAAAACTAGTTCCTACACACAATGAAAATCAGAGAATCTGGCTTTAGGCAACTGGCAGTCATTCAGAAGTTTCTGAGTATAGCCACTCTCTAGGCATTAGCCATTATTCACACCTACTAGAGGCAAAACACCAGGACTGCAATGAAGAAACTTTGTCTTCACCGACAAGGTAATAGAGTATGGAGGGAAAACACCCAAGTACTTATCACATAACATAGAATTATGGAAAGTGCCAAGGGAAAGGTAAAGACAAATTTGGTGCTGGGATGGCACAGGGAGGGAAGGGCTCCTCCAGGTCTGGGGGCCAGCAAGGGAACCTCTAATGTCCCGCTGGAAAAAAAATCACAGAGGCATTTAGACTGGGTCATCAAAGATGGCCACTGCTCTCACATGGGGGAAATGAGATGGAAAAGCATTCTAGGAAGAGGGAACAGCATGAACAACGGAAAGAAGACAGTAGTGGCAGTGCTCTAGAACTAACAAGTATTCCAGTTTGCTGGAATATAGAAGCGTCTGAGGAGAGGCTAGAAAAATGAGCCGGGGTTAAGAGTGGGGATTGTTCCCATTTAAGAGTTTTTATACGTGACTAAGGAGAACCTGTGGCTTAGTGAGGAACACCCACCGAAATTGGCCCCTGGAAAGGCTCATCAGGCAGTGGTAGGCATGAAATTGGGAGTAGGCACCTACAGTGACAGGGTGGCTATGATAAGGTTTGGAGGGAAGCATTCCAGGCAGAAGGGATACCAAAGGCCTGAACGAATAGAAGAAATGGCTGGAGTGTGTGGGTGTTGGAGGCACTGGGTTTTAAGGAGCGCAGCAGCACGATCAGATGTCCAATTTAAGGGGCGCCTGGGTGGCTCAGTCGTTAAGCGTCTGCCTTCGGCTCAGGTCATGATCTCAGGGTCCTGGGATCGAGCCCCGCATCAGGTTCCCAGCTCAGCGGGAAGCCTGCTTCTCCCTCTCCCACTCCCCCTGCTTGTGTTCCCTCTCTCGCTGTGTATATCTCTGTCAAATAAATAAATAAAATCTTTAAAAAAAATAAAAGAATCCCCCTGGCTGCCATGTGGGAAACGATCCTAGGAGAAAGGTAGGACTGGAAGCAGATAAACAGTGGGGAGCTGCTGCAGCAGCCAGGTATATGCTGGAAGCCAGGGTTGGGGCGGGAACAGCTGCAGGTTATATTTAGTGGGTAGAATCTATAGAGCTTGGCTGATGGGGTTACGCGGTGGGTAGCGGAGGGAGGACTCAAGAACGACCTGCCACTGGGGATTATTCAGCAGTGGAGTAGGTTTGTGCGGAGAGGAGGGCTCCCCGACACCGGAGCAAACGTTGCAGGGGAAACAAGGCGACTCCTGTCTCACTGAGGCCGACCCTGGGATAGAGGATGCTTTAGAACACAAAAAAATCAGGGCTTCTCGAGTGGAAAACAACTGCCTTTTGTGCTGCCACCTGGCCTCAACCTCAGGCCAAATCCCAACCCCCTCCCGTTTAACTCCTGGCCCCCCGGATCTACTTACAAACTGGCTCTTGCGACCCCTGCGAAACCCCTGGAGCATCCTTGCGCGGGGAGTGGCCGAACCAGGGCTGGACCGACGTGCAGATATCCTCCCAGGCGAGGAACACTCCCTAGAACCTGAGCCACCCTCCGGTTGTCTTAGCCCCAGACGCTTTTTCTACGGAATGCACTTCGCAACAACCTCGTCTTCCATTAGCTCCGCTTTCGCTTTGACCAATCAGAGCTAAGGTTACTCCGCACCCGTCGCTCTTGGCAACCAGCGGTCCCCATTCAAATTCCTCCGGGGCGGAAACAGTGCGTGGTCCGTTCTCTTATTGGCCAGCTCAGGTGTCGATCTCTGACGCTATAGCCTATCTAGCGCCGTGGGAGGTGGAGGGCGGGCAGGATGAAACACTGGCAAGCGCACCGCAGGGAAACCGGAAGTGGCGCGCCGCGGGTGAAAGCTCGGGATCTCCTGGCTGGGGCCCAGGTGGGGTTCGGGCTGGCTCCGGACCGGACTGAGCAGCCGTGGGGCAGACCGAGCGGGGGTACCAGGAGCCAGCAGGTGACGAAAATGAGGGACGCGGCTACCAGGACGGGAATCTCCTGGGTCTTAGACTTTGGCAAATAATTCAGTCTTTTAAAGACACTGCAAAGCGGGTTCCTGCCAGAGAGGCCCCGACTTCGAGGGGAGCCTGGGGCGGTGTGCGGGAGAGCCTGCTCAAATGCCGTCTTCTGTTTTCCTTATTAGATCGAGGCCGACGATGGCCAGGAACCCCGCTGAAGGCACCGGCCCCATGCACGTGCCTTTTGGGCATGTTGTGGCCAACGAGAAGTGGCGCGGGTCGCAGCTCGTGCAGGGGATGCAAGGTCGGTGGGCTGCCCTTTGCATAAGCCCTCTTCTAAGCTTTTTCAAAACGTGCTACCTACTGTCGCTTTCACACACAGCTCACGGAACTCCTTTTTCTTGTCTGTGTTCTAAGGGAAAATTAAAATCGGTTTTGAGGATGGCCTGACACCGGTAGATTTTTACTTGTCAAGCAGATCTTGCATTCTTTATGTCACCGAAGCTGATTTGGTGGCTGGAAATTGCTACAGGAAGAGGCTTGTTCGGGTTAGAAATGTAAGTACTGAATTGAAGACACTGAAACGGAAAATTGACTTCCATCTGCCGCCTCCTCCATCCTCTGGAATAATTTATATACAACCATTGGCCATTCTTAGCATTCTTGGACTGATAGCTTTCTTAAACTGGAAGGTAGTTTTGTTACAAAATGGTTTACTGTTTTGTTTTTTTTCTTCCTTTGAAGTCCAGTAATCTTCAAGGGATTGTAATAGTTGAGAAAACACAGATGAGTGAACAGTACTTCTCGGCCATACAGAAGTTTACGGTGCTGGACCTTGGGATGGTGTTGCTTCCAGTGGCCAGCCAGATGGAAGCGTCCTGCCTTATCATCCAGTTGGTAAGTACTAATTGCTACTCCTCTGCAGGAGCCCTGCCTTACAGACTCTCACCTGACCTTCCTGGATCTTCCACTCCTGCTGCTGCCCTTGCTACAGTTGCAATCCATCAGTCCTGTCTACAGTGTTCCTCACTTATCTGTGGTCAGCTGCAGTCCAAAGCAGGTGATCCTTATTTATTTATTTATTTATTTGAGAGAGAGAGGGGGCACAAGCGGGCAGAGGGAGAGAGAGAAACAGACTGCTGAGCAGGGACCCCGACGTGGGGCTCAATCCCAGGACTCTGGGCTCATGACCTGAGCCGAAGGCAGACACTTAACCAGCTGAGCCACCCAGACACCCCGCAGATGATCCTTTTTTGAATGAAAAAAAAAAACAAACCCAAAAAACAAAAACCTGATTCTCCATTGTCTTCACTGATTATTCATCTTGGCTGTGCTTTAGAATTTCCTGAGGAACTTTTAAAAACAGCAATACATGAGCCTTACCTCAGACCAGTTAAAAATCAGAATGTCAGGATAGGGCCTTAAGCATCAATTTATGTTGTGTTGTTGATTTTAAATTTCCCTTTTGATGTGTAGCTAGGATTGAGAATCAAATTGAAAAATGCAAGCAGCCCCATGTTGTTGGTAGATCACTCTTCCTTCTCCGTGGCATCCCTTGCTTCGTTGTTCCTAACTTCTCCTGATGTAATGCTGTCTATCATCTACCTTCCTGTATCCACCACTAACTGAAAACTGGGTTTCTCCTTTGATAGGCAAGCTCTATCCAGGTCCTGTACCAAGCAGGTCCAGTTTAGTTTTAATTTAATTCCATACTGGGTGCCTGGGTGGCTCAGTCAGTTAAGTGTCTGCCCTCCACTCAGGTCATGATCCCAGGGTACTGGGATCGAGTCCCACATTGGGTTCCCCGCTCATCGAGGAGTCTGCTTCTCCCTCTGCCCCTCCCCCCTGCTTGTGTGCGCGTGCTTGCTCACTGTCTCGCTCTCTCTCAGATAAATAAATAAAATATTTTAAAAAAAAATTTTAATCCCATAGAACTGAATTGTTTCTTAGTGGGCCACAGGAACATGTTTGAATTCCTCAGTATGTTTGCGTTGCTTTATCCTAAGCATTCTGAAAATCCAAGTTTTAATAAATCATTCTCTTAGTCCTCTGTGTACTCATATGGTTCATCTTTCAGTAATTTTGCTGATGCCTGAAAAATTGTATTCATGGTGTATGAAAATATTTGTAGTGGTAAGTCAAGCTGGACCAGATGGAAAAGGCAAAACTAAATTTCCATAAATTTTTAAGAGAACTGCCAGTCCTCTAGAGGGCGCTCACGTGCTTTCCCTTTACCATTGGTTTAGGTTCAAGAACAAACCAAAGAGCCCAGTAAGAACCCATTCCTCAGTAAGAAACGGGCTCAGATCCCTGAGCTATCCCTCCTTCGAACTGTGCAACAGATCCCAGGAGTTGGAAAAGTTAAAGCTCCCCTTCTGCTTCAGAAGTTCCCAAGTATCCAGCAACTAAGTAATGCTTCCACCCGAGAACTAGAGCCAGTCGTGGGACAAGCCGTGGCGCAGCACATTCAAGCGTTCTTCACACGGCCCAGCTGGGACCGCAAGCTACCGGATCTTGTTTGATTTTCATATTTAAAAATGGAGAACAAAGACTTTCCTGCCGCAGCACCTAATGAGTGACTGGGTGAGGCCTACACGGAAGCTGCCAGTTGCCCTGCCTTGCTCTCTGGGTTTGGGCGTTTAAGTTAGCGGGGCTCCCGATAGCCTGGCCCTCACTCTGCTAGTGGAAGAGGAGGTGTGGAGGGCACGCCTGGCCGGCGCAGTCCGTAGAGCATGTGACTTTTGATCTCGGGGTTGTGAGTGAGCCCCACCTTGGGGGTAGCAATTACTTAAAAAACAAAATCTTAAAAAACAAAAAAAAAACAGGGGCCCCTGGGTGGTGCAGTCAGTTGAGTGTCCAATTCTTGGTTTCGGCTCAGATCATGATCTCACAGTTTTGAGATCAAGCCCCGCATTGGGCTCTATGTTCAGCATGGAGTCTGCTTGGGATTCTCCCTCTCAAAATAAATAGGGGCGCCTGGGTGGCACAGTTGTTAAGCGTCTGCCTTCAGCTCAGGTCATGATCCTAGGGTCCTGGGATCCAGCCCCACATCGGGCTCCCTGCTCCGCGGGAAGCCTGCTTCTCCCTCTCCTGTGCCCCCTGCTTGTGTTCCCTCTCTCACTGTATCTCTGTTAAATAAATAAAATCTTTAAAAACAAAATCTAAAAACAAAAACGAAATCTTAAAAGAAAAAGAGAGAAGGCCCATGGGGATCTTCCTAAGAGAGTTGAATAAGGGACTCTCAAATTCAGCAAAGAGCCGGCCTGGGCATATTGCCCTGTGTCTATCATGGAAAGGTCTAATCAAATTTCAGGAGGTAGATGTGACCGTCTAAAGGAAACCTACAATGAAGCGCTGTGCTGTGTACCACAAACCCCTTGTTCCTGGTGGCAGAGCCAGTGTTCTTCCAATGTGGTCTTAATATTACTGTTTTGAGAGTGTTGCCAGTGTAAATAAACAATTGTACTGCCTTTTTTCTTCCTTCCTTCCTCCCTCCCTCCCTTCCTGGTAGCTGCACAGTTTGTTCATAGTCACTGAGCATGTCTTCTGAACACAGCCTGGAGTTTGGAGTTCCCTTTTAAAGGTAGAAAGCCAGTATGTATGAAGGAGGAAAAGAATGTGTTTGCCAATGTACAGGCCAACAGTGGGAAGATATATAGGAAAATGGCAGGGCAGATGCATCCAGAGAGGACAGCCCCGCGTGGGGATGAAAAGGTACAGTCAGCCACTCAAAAAAGAAATGCACTTAGCCACTCTGGAAAACAGTATGGAGGTTCCTCAAAAAGTTGAAAATAGAGCTACCCTGTGACCCAGCAATTGCACTACTTGGTATTTACCCCAAAGATACAAATGTAGTAATCCAAAGGGGCACCTGAACCCCAATGTTTATAGCAGCAATATCCATAATAGTCAAACTATGGAAAGAGGTCCATTGACAGATGAATGGATAAAGATGTGGTATATATATACACAATGGAATACTACTCAGCCATCAAAAAAAAAAAATCTTGCCATTTGCAATAATATGGATGGAACTAGAGGGTATTATGCTAAGCGAAATAAGTCAGACAAAGACAAATACCATTTACTTCACTCATATGTGGAATTTAAGAAACAAAACAGGATCATGGGGAAGAGAGGAAAAAATAAAATCAGAGAGGGAGACAAACCATAAGAATTTGTCTTAATCATAGGAAACAAACCGGGTTGCTGGAAAGGAGGGGGCAGGGGGGGTAGGGGGATGGGGTAACTAGGTGACAGACATTAGGGAGGGCACATGATGTAATGAGCACTGGGTATCCTATAAGACTGATGAGTCACTGACCTGTACCTCTGAAACTAATAATACATTATATGTTAATTAACTGAATTTAAATTAAAAAAAATAAATGCTCTTGAAGATGCCATATGTTTTCAAAGATACTAAGATAATTTGAAACCTCTGGAAGTCCTGTTTTGTGAAATGGTAGTCATTATAAAAGACCAAACCATAAGAACATTTTGTGCATTAGGGTAGAAACAATTTGAAAGAGGAGTGAAATAAGCAGGAAAAAAGTAAAACAAACCATTAACTCAGGCAAATGAATATGTTTATTTAAATATTTATATAAAAATGTCCCTAACAGCAGTGGATACACTTTCCCAAATGTGGTTGCTTCCCTTTTGATATTGCACACTAGAAAATATTTACGTTCTTGTTAATTCTCAAAAATAGATTACAATGCTATTTTTTTTTAACTATATAACTTGTACTATGTCAACTGTGAATCTTACAAGAATCACAGCATCATCCACCTTATGGCAAGAGAAATTGACAGGTAAGAATGTCATTTTAAAAAGTCAAATAGAGCTTTAAACTAGAATCATTTACATCTTTACCTTATAAAATGTTTCTAACCCATCTTAAAGACTCTTAAAATACATAACTATGTATATTTTCTACTTTAAACAAATATGTTTTGAGTATCAAACAGCATATTGTCTACCTTGTAGATAGCATCCCCATCTAACACTGCCACTGTGTTAGCAACTTGTAAATGACATCAGACTAGAAGCAACGCTGCTCCTAAATTGTGTGGTTTTTTTGTTTTGTTTTTATCTTATTAGTTATGACAGATTTGTCACTAGACTTTATCTGGAAATAGCATTCATATTATGTAGAAATAATCATAAAATCTTACCATTTTAGGTTCATGAATTACCCTTAGGAAGCAGTTCTTTGGAACATTTCTTAATAATACCAACTTAGTAATATAACTAAATCGGTATAGTTCCTTGACCTGCCTTAATTTGGGGTCATCTGAATTCCGAGTTAAGGAATGATCTATTACCCAAGGCTAGAAATGATTACAAGTAGGACCAAGAGAGGTAACCCTATTTAATTCATAGTAACTACAAATCGTCACTGCAGCCGTTAAAAATAGCCGTATTTTCAACACCGTTCTATTTACAACACTTTATATAATAAATAACTTGCAGCAATATGGTGACACTCCCCAAATTTGAGGTTTCTTGTTACTTTCATTCATGAAGACCTACCAATTGTGAGTTTACCCAGTGACAAAATGGGATTTGTGAATATTTAGAAATTTTCCATTGTGGCACAAATAGGAAGGCCTGGTCAGCACCGGAGACACGTGGAGCCTGGACGTTTTTTGTTTCCTCACATTAATACAAAGAACTGTCGGAGTTGAGAAGGCTGAAGGGAGAGGGAAGCTTCTTCTTGACTTGAGGCCTTGCAACCCCAACTGACGGGAGGCACAAGGTGCTGGCCGACTTCTGTCTGTTCTTGTTGGTGCCCCAACTCAAAAAAGAAAGCTTCTTCGAGATCTTCTTGGCTTTATCAGTTTTATCATCATCATCTATGGCTAAACAGATCATGGAGTAGGTTTTCTGCATTCCCACAGAGTATGTTGCACACTTATTATGCTGCACATGGGAAAGACAAAAAGCGGTGTTAGAAGTCCTCAAGATAGCTGATAAGTGATTGCAAAGTCTGGGCTCACATTTTGCACTTACAGCATCCTTTTTAAAATTAAGTTGATATAATTCTGGAACTCGAGTGAATTAACGCTTACATAGAATTCAGTTCTTAAAAACAAGGACAATTTTTAAGGAATAGACTCAGTAGTAGTAATTTAGGCTAGTAGTAGGACTCGCTTTTTAAGGTTCTTACTCTATGTGTAAAAACAATACTCATGCTCAATAATATGAAAATACATATACTGAAGAGTAGGGCGTCCCTCGCCCTGAAGAGTAGGAAGTCCCTTGACTTCCAGGCCTTTCCCCTGAAGTAAACATGATTTCTATTCCGCTTTTATTTTTTTACTTTTTTTAAAAAAATTATTTATTTGAGAGCGAGAGAGAGCAGGAGCATGGGGGAGGAGCAGAGGGAGAGGGACAAGCAGACTCCCCGCTGAGCACAGAACCTGATGCAGGACTTGATCCCAGGACCCTGGGATTGTGACAGGACCGTGACTTGAGCCAAAGGCAGATGCTTAACTGACTGAGCCACCCAGGTGCCCTCTGTTACGCTTTTAGAGATGCTGTTCCTATCCAGGTATTGATGTGTGCATAGGTATACGTCACTGTTTGTCCTTCCCGAAAAGGAAGATACTCCACACTGGTCTGCCTCTTGCTTTCTTCACTTAATGAACGTACCTTGGATTTCAGTCCATGCCAGTAGATACAGATCAACTTCATTCTCTTTACAGACAATATGGAATCCGTGGTGAGGATACCTAGTAACCTTTTCCCCCTATCTTTTTAAACTGAGGAAATATACAGGACCTAAAATTGGCCCTTTTAACCACTGTCAAGGGTACAGTTCAGTGGCATTAAGTACATTCAACTGCTGTACAGCCATCACCACCGTCCACCTCCAGAACTTTCTCATTTTCCCCAGCTGAAACTCTTTGCCCAGTGAGCACTACTATTAACTTTTAAAGGATTGTGTAGGGTTCAAATAGGAAACCTGCAGATAGTTGTTTTCTGGAATCTTCCATGTGGGTTATCCCCTGCTTCCAAGGTTTGCCTAACATTGGAGTTGCTTTGTTCACCAAATGTTTACTGAACCAATCTACTATGTTCCAGGCACCGAAACCAGGCCTTTAAATATACGTACTATATATCTAAAGTGGTGGGGGACGATAGTCATAATAGAAATCAAGGAATTTGAGAGTTGGGACAATAAAGAAGGGGTATTCACTCTAAACTGTCCCTCTCGAGTCTGGCTCCTTTGGATGAAGATATCCCTTCCTTTTCTATAAAACTGCCATTTACTCCCACCATACTCTACAAGACATGCATGCGCACTCCCATTAAAAACAATAATAAATAGTCCTGGATGTCGATTTCATGCCTGCAAACACTTTTCAGCCTTAACCTGCTTAAAGTCCATTATAAATCTTTATGACCATTCTCTTATAAATACCCTCGATCCTCTCCCATACTTCAACCAGTGAATGCCAAGTCTAGTTAAACTCCACCCTCTGCCTCCTCCCAGGCCTGTGCCCAAAGGGCT